ATGTATCGGTTCAAGTTACCAACTCACTTAGATCTTTTGAAGGTCCATTGTGGTACCACTGTGCAGAACACGGGAACTTCGGTGATTATTCTTCAGAGAACCAATTTGAGGCTCTTATAAAGCGTAGAATCGGTTTTATTCCTACTCGTGATAATTCCGTAAGAGAGCTAAAGAAGAGCCTACCTAAAAAGCCTGCTCTCCTCTTGGCCAGAGCTGGGCAGCTACAGAAGAAGTGATTCCTTCATTCCTTTCATTCACCAAAATTAAAAGTCGAGATATTTTTAAAACAGGTATTTATGCTCTGATTTGTTTCAAACTTGGTATATTTAGTTGAAACATAAGAAGACATACATACATACACACATTCATATGTAGATTTGTAAAAATAGAACCGATAGTTGGTGCTGAAGTCAAAAGAAAATTATATCCAACATAAAATTCGTGTTTCATTTGTATTAAACATTATTTTAAAAACAATATTAACAAACAATTCGTTGATGTTGCAGACCACTTGACCTTTAACAAGTTTATGACACTTAACAAAAATCATGCTCCCAGATTCACTAGCAGCAAAATTTGTGCTTCTTGAAGAAGTTGGATGAATTCGGTACACCTGTGCAAAGGTTCGAAAATAAAGTTTTTTTGCTTTTCCGAGGATAGAGTACGTAATACGATCTTATGCAGTTTGATGAAAGAATGCTGACTCAAAATAATTTTTAAACCTCTAAAAGATGTAGCGTTTTCGGTGGAAGAGGGCGGAGGTCGAGTTATAATGACGCCGTTAAACTTGTAACAGTACCATCTTTTGATGTGCGCCTTTTTTTCTGGTACGGTCTAATATATGCACATGTATGTAATCATGAGTTGCACACACATAGCTACATACTAGGGCTCGTAAAATTATCCGACTATTCGACTAATCGGTTAACCGATTATTCGATTCGTAACCGTTCGCATCAAGAATGATAGAATACAAGATTGCGCCGATCAGAGAGGATTTTTGAGAATAACTTTTGTGTGACGTCACACTGGTGCAATTGCGAGAGAGAAATGCCAAAACGTGAGCAAGAATGGAAGAAGAAGAAAAAATGATGCAAAGGAAAACGTAAACAAGTTGCACCAGTGTGACGTCATGCAAACAACGATTCTGTCAAATTCGTTAAGAGAAAAATAGCGGTACCGAGATCGGCGCAACCTTTGTATTCTCTCAATCGTGCGTTCGCATGCTTATTAGTCGGTTAATGGTATTCGAATAGTCGCCCGCCTTCGATTATTCGAATAGTTGCTTTGCTTCGACTACTCGAGCATTGTAGCAAATCGAATTTCAGCAACCGAACTTTCATTGAAATTTCTTTGACAAATGAAAAAAAATTTATTTAAATATATACATACATGCACACATATGTATGTATATTCAGATACAAAAAATGAGCGGACGCAAAAGGAGCTTGGTTTGGGATTTTTTCGCAAAAAACAGAGGACGAAAAGGAAGTAACATGTTCCATATGTGGTGCAGTTTTGTGCCACACCTCCTCTACATCCTCACTGAACAACCATTTAACAAAAATCCATAACAAAAATCGCGAAAATGAGAGGTAGGTATTGCTTTAGCCATTGTCTCTAAAATATTTCCCAATAACATTTCAATAATTAGCGCACATTCTTGCAAAAAAAGTTTGCCTTAATTTTGCACATGCCATCTTATATATGTACTACGAATGTAACAAGACTTTTCATATATGTATATGTATCTGTGAATGCAAAAAAAAAACTCGAACTTAAAATATTCGATTAACCGAAAATGAACGGTTAACCGAATAATCTAAAGTGAACGGTTATCCGAATAGTCGACAGCTTTCGACTACTCGAATATTGCTAACCGATTAACAGTAGTCGACTTCAGTCAGATTCGAATAATTCGGTTAATCGATTAACCGAATTGCCCGAGCTCTACTACATACACCTGAAATTAAGAAATTTTAATTGCCATACAAAATTGTTTATATTCGCTACCTCTTGCGCATACATACATATAATAGCTTAGGATTTTTCGAAATTCCAGCATTCACCCAGGCAAAATGCCTCATTAACTGTTGCAAATAAAAATTAAAAAAATAAAAAGCCATCTGAAACTCTCTCACGCTTCAAAAAAAAAAATAAAAAAATAAAAAATAAGTATTTCCTCTACAGACAAACGCAACTTATGCGAAAAGTGATTTCAAATCTCTGCCATACGCAATGGGCGCGTCAAAGCTTGCAGAATATCAGCTGTTGCTTCTTCTTGCTGTTAAGTGCCCATATACGTTTTATGACTCTTGGCGCATTTCCTTTTTTTTGATCTTTTTTGCTCCCATACTTACATACATATGTATGTACATATTAAGCTTATGGGAGCAGTTGCTATTAAACGCAGACGAATTTTGCGCTTATAAATATACATTTGTATCTATGTATGTAAAGGCAGTTTCACATGATTGGTACTTTTGTACAGATTTGTACATTTTTACATTGAGCTATTGGTACCATATAAACAAATTTTTTTTCGCTTAAGTTTCAATTAAATTTTTTCGAAATTTTTGTTCAGACGAATTTTATTATTTAAAAGTAAAAAGCAGTTATGGAAAAATGCCTAAAAAATAAAAATGTATTAGATTGGCGAATAAATAGGAATATCTTTCAAATACATAAAAATTGCATTCAACAAAATTTCAGTGGCATCAGAAATCATTTAGTATAGTGTTTTGAACTACAGGTAGAAAAAAATTCGAGTTTTTTATGGAAGAAAATATGCAACACCGCCAGAAAAAAAAATTGCCAGAAATCAACGGTAAGTCCTAGCTACTTCAAATTTGCATATTGTTGTACTGAAATTGAATGGACTACAAAACTGCATATTCAAAATTTTTCTTGGAAATTTAATTAAAAGCTTGAAACGTTTGCCAAAGTTTGTTTATTTGTCTTTAAAGTATTGCAAAGTGTGAAACCCTAATTGACAGATTTTTTTTTAAGAATAAACTATATATTTATTAAATTTTGTCAGTTTGTGGTGAAGTTATTGTCACTAGACACAAATAAAGGCGCGGTAGTATTTTCACGGCGAAAAAAGGAGGCATAAAAAAAATTTGACGAAAAAAGACGCTTAAGAAATACTCCGTCGAACGCGTTACCTAGTTTAAGTTGAAGAAAGACGCGTAAACATAGATTTATAGTTGGCATCATTCCCCAAAAACTCTTTGGTGAAGGGTCACCATATCATATTTTCTTTGCTAAGGGCATAGAACATTTTTTACAGTTCAATTACTTATTTGAAACTTTCTAGATTTTCAGACCTTTCTTAGTTCATATAAATGCCGATGTTTAAAAATTTTTTGATAAAAATATTATCTACTGATGAGATAAACTTATCGAGTCGTGAGCTACACTGCTTCTTATCAGCAGAAAGTGTGCCACAAGCGTTAGAACTAAAAGTCTTATGTTCCGTAATTTATCTACTAAATAAGTCTACTACAAATTTTATTAAAAAATTTTCTCAAGTCAAATTTTTTTACTTACATAAAAGTAATAAATATACACTCTGGCCAAGTATGTGCTCAATGACGAATAAATTTGTACTCTACTCCTATACGTTCGAATGTGGTCAGTTGATGGGGGAATCCATTTCTGCAAACAATACATACAAACAAGCAACTACACCCATAAATACTAAATAAAATACTCTTCGCCTTTTGTCAGTTCCATAGCCGCACCACACCGTATCGTACGATAAATTTTCGCTAACAGATACGTCACTGTGTGCTGTGGTTTTTGGCATACCAACTAACTACGAGTATTTGTATGAGCGTGAGTGTATGTTTAGGCAACACTGATCGGGTCTGGTGACGGCAACACGCACCAAAATCATGTTCATTCAGCATTAATTAATTTATATTTTATTGTTTGCAGAGTTTGCCTGCTAACCATTTTTATTAAAGAGATTTTCTCGCGCACACCCGACCCGCCACACATACACACATATGTGTACATGAAAATTATTAAAAAGGAATATTGGTGAACGCATAAAATTTGCAAAGTGAAATAACTGCCATCGCTAAATTGGTGCGTCAAGCGCCAAGCAGCTGTCAAAAATCCTCATGCCCATACAGTTTGTACGAAGCATCCCACAATAACGCCGAGCAAATGGAATTTGCATTTTTGACAGGGCGTTGCGCATAGAAGTTGGATGCAAAAGACGGAAAGAAAGGGAAAGGACCAAAAAGTGAAAGAGGAAATGGGAATAAAAACGACAGGAAATGAGAAAACGTCAAAAATTACGACGCGTTGATTTGGGGATAGCGCGCGCTGACACTCGTTGACAATGGAAAACGCAACGCTTAGCGCTCCAATTTAGGGACGGCAGTAAATCACAAGAGGGTGGATGCTGTTATGAGCGTAGAACAGAAATCTGTATTACCCTTACACACACCTGCTTTTCGATGCTCCCAGCGCCGCTCACGTTTTCATTGACAACAAGCACTGCAAGGTTTTATTAATAATTTTTTGCCATCATTTATGAATTGTTGCTAGTAACAGAACTTTTCTTTGAAGTCGCTTGCACCACACGTCAGCGCTGCGTACACAATTTTGCACCACAAGGGAAATGTTGCTGGTCGCTTAATGTGACAAGGGTCTGGTGAGTTACGTATGCGGTGTTTACTTGAGGCTATTCGTTGAATCAAAAGTTGGCTGCCCACCAACTTCATTGGAAGCGTTTAATTGAAAGTCCGTTCACACCAAGCGATTGTTGTATTCAACTAAAAGTTGTCTGTAAAATCGCGTCATGTAAACACCCCTTTAGGCAGTGAGTCAGTCAGTTGGTCAGTTGGTGGGTGGGGTGGGTGTTGCTATATTATAACTAATATTTTTATATGTACATACAAATATACAAACATATGTATGTGGTATGTATGTATGTATGAACTATCCATGCATATGCCACCTATGTAAATAATTCTAACACCTACCGACTGTTCTCCAGTTTTGACATCTCTCTGTATCCGCTCATATTGCTGTTGTAATTGTTGTTGTTATGGTTTTTTAATAACATAAAAAAAGGATTACACTCGCTTTAGGTGCTCACTTCGGCTGCTGCGCTCGGTTTGATTGATTTTAAATATTTATATTCTTTTAATTGAGTTTCACTGCGAGAGACTTTTTTGGCTTTCGATTTTTTGCTTTTAGATTTTAGATTTGGAAAATTTGTTTTATTAAGTTTCCTTGTTTTCTAGCAAAACCTCAACAAAACCACGTCACCGATTCTTTTTCTTCGACTTGCTGCTTTTATTATAAAATTTTTTGTATTTTTCTTTTGTTTCTTGTGCCAGTCTACAAAAATCCAATTCAACTCACTTGACACTTTCACTTGGCCTTCTACGCCAATTTTCAGTAAATTTAACAACAAAAAAATTAAATTATAATACTCGAACGAACAACCGATTTTTTAAGGCAACCGAATAAACGAGCGATTTGTACGAAGAGAAAAAAATGGAATCTCAAATGCAGCAATTTCAAATTTTTTGTACTTTTTTATGAGTGTCTTTTTTGAGTTTCGTAGTTTCGTAAAAAAAATCTGTGTTTGGATGTCGGTAGGTTACTGCTGTATGTATGTATTTTTTGGCTGATGTTTAAGTAAAAACAAAAATTTTCAGCTGACCACTGCCAATTTCCCGGTTTCTGAATGCTCCCGCTGACACGCTTTTTGCTCTTTTTTTCAGCGATATATTACCAATATCAACTTTTGTGCGGATTACGAAATATTAGCGTAAAATTTTCGTATGCAATTTTTTGACCAATTGAAAATCTTTATTAAAGTCACTTTTCGTTTTTATAGTGCCTTAATTTTTACTTATTTTGAACGACTCTTCGACGTTGCAGGTAGTTGTACGCGTTTTGTTTTCTTTCGTTTTTGAAAATCACTTGCGAAATATTTCAAAATACATATATGCTCCTTTATTTGTGAAAACTTCGAAAAATTCTCCAAGTTAAAACTTTTCTAAAAGAACACCGTATATATATAGACAAGTATCTCGCAGATACACGCAACCACGACGACCGAGCGCTACTTTACAAATGACAGCCCACCAAACGTGAGTGTACTTTTTGTATACACTGCTGAGAGCGCTCTGCCGAGTCGTGAGCATTCTGTGACGGCGCTGACTTGTTCGTGGCTAAAGCGGCGGCGGCTATGCGAGTATGGCAACATGGAATTGCAAAGTGAAAGAACGTCAGAGATACATATGTACTGTATATTTAATTATTTAGTTGAATGCGCAATTTTATTGAGTTCGGAAAATTTTAGAGATTCTTAATGGAAATATCGGCAGAGCAATATATGCACGCGGTTCTTAGAGGTATACGTCAATCCAAGGTTCTCCCGTATTTGTGGGAAAGGTTCAACTGTCGGTATGCCGATTAATTTGCGATTTTACTAATTACGCCGAAGATTTTGTGGTCCAATAAAAACTTCTGATATTTCACCACATTCCAATGTTTTAACTTTTGATCTAAAATTTCAAGATTAACAAAATTATTTTTTTTCCGAAAACCATAATTTGTATTTATTAACTTAGAATTTAGAATAAAATAGTCAGTTGGAAGTAGTAGAAATTAAAAAGTTTCAAGAATTCGAGTTTGATAAAAAAAAAACTAATAACATTGACGATATTTGCTAAGTGCTTGACCGAGCTTCTCTTCCTATTTTGGTGTGTGCTTTGACAAATGCTGAAACCCATAGCTTTACTTCACCCCAGAACGGAAGATGGTTTGCATTTCATGCATTTTAAGCATTCGAAGAACCGTTCGCCATTCAATATACTGTTTTTTGAAATTGGTCGGGTCACTGAACGATACACTCAGAGGTTTGCCATTGCCTGCCAAGAGGCGATCACTATTAAAAAAAAAAAACTTTATTTTCTTTTTTAATGTTAGTCGGAAACTGGGCTGGATCCCAGGCCCACCGATGCTGCGCATTCTAACCACTATATCACAACAGCAGTCAACATATAAACATCACTACTAAGTACGTAAAACGTATTCACATGGCACGCTTTAATTTAGAACAGTTTTTGACACTTTCGATACCAGAAGCAACAACAAAATATCTGTTTGATATGCCTTGATATACATTTTGTTTTAAAATTTCTACCTTCAAATGGAAGAATGTGAATGAATGAACGAAAAACATTCAAATCATTCAAACTCATTTCGGTAAATGTTTTTTTCTAAAAATAAGTTTGTTTGTATTGTAATCGCAACAAAATGTATTAAACAATGTGTGATTGAATTTCACATTGCTCTCAGAAGAATCATCCTATAAAGTCAAATTGAATTTTTTTTATGAATTTTGAATCGCTTGTTTATATTTTTTGGCATAACAGTACCTTAAAAGAGAGCTTACCTGAGTTCTCAATTACCCCTGGAGGGCGGCAATATATAGTATTTTTCTTGTATTCTGTTTTATATTTAGTTTAAGAAATAAATCACTGAAAGCTCGCTAAAAAATTATGCTCAAAATATATTTTGTTATAATTTAAAAAATATTTTTTTAAAATATTTTTTTGAAGAAAAACACCACCATTTTAATTTCTTCAAAGAATATGATAGCTTCAATTTAAAAGAAAATGTCAAAAGCACACTTAACGTCAAATGGGAGCACTGCCGAATAAAAATAAGAAGTGAAACTACCTTTTAAAATTTGTATCATAGTCGACACATATGTATGTATATCGGAATAGGTATTTACTGAAATTCGAAAAAATTTTAAGCCAAAATCTTTCATTCGTTTTGCATATGAATAATTCATATGCCGTTTTGAATGAATTCATGCAACCCTCTAGTATGTATGTATGTATATACCTCATACGAAACACCCTGTTAAACATTCTCACAGTACATGTTTCCTTTTAAATATGTATTTAAAATGGCCAAGCGGTAGTTCTTACCTCTAACCACTAGACCACGGCGGTTACGAGTTTGATAAATCCTCAATAATGATATTTTATTTTATAAGCAGGTGGATGCGGCATTGTATACCTCCCGGAGAAAGCCATTTTTTCGGTTTACTTTGATAGTGTCTATTAGACACATAACTTCTACCGCGGCGTTTCGTTTCCACTGCTATCCACGGCATAAAACATATGTATCTGCTTGGGCATTTGGCGTTGGTATCTGGAGAGCGAATCTGTTACCGCATTTTTTTATACCTTTCCGATATTATTACGATGAAATGGTAACCTTCCAGGCGAGGTCTCATCTTGAGGATACCCCATAAAAAGGCTAGATATTCATGTTTGTTGACAAAAATATTCCAAGCTCTGCTGGTAAACGCTACGACTTTTTCGACGCCAAGGGCTTCTCTGCAGGTGTCGGTTTTAAGAATGAACTGACAGTTCAAGTCAGGCCAGAAAAGTAAGCGGGTTGAGTCGGTATTTTAGGGTTTGAAAAGCATCTGTTTGGTCGTCTCATATCCAGTTTTAGTACTTCTCTACCAATTGCTTAAGCGGCGAGGCGAGCATTGAGAGTTATGCGCAGAGAGGGTGGTACCAGGAGGCGAGACCGATAATCGCATGAAAGTACTTCTGTCGATATAAATCTGCATATTTTATCGGCGGTAGTATCTCCTAGTACTGCGTGAACTACGGAGCTTGGTAATTTTTACAGAAAACCCAAAATTTAGCTTCAAACTTTTTCAAAACATTGTTATTACTGCTCTCGCAAGATAAGCCCTTGATATAGACCGCACTGAGAGTGATTACTCAAATCAGTTATAGAGTCAGCCTCAATGCAGATTTTCGTATATCTATTTAGTCCTGAGTTAACCTCCGTAATTGAAAATGTTAAGTAATGTACATTAAATTTGGGGAAATAAGTAACGCTAATAAACATTAAACAAGATGACGTTAAGTGAGCAGAAAAAGCACACTGCTGGGCGGACATAAGGTTAAAAAACTCAGTTTAAATAGAAAATAAAATTAGTACAGCAGAGCTTTAATTACCGTAAAATGTTTAAAATTTTTGTTTTACAAAATTTGGAACATAATTTTTAATTGCAAAAATACATACATTTGCACTCTAGATATTGAGTATTTTCACCTTTCACCACAACTTTCCTTTCACAAGTCAACAAAGCAATTTTTTTTTAATTATCTACTGTCGAACTCTGTAAACGCATCTCCAAAAACAACAAAATAAAACTGCAGCAATTAATGCTTCATTGCTTTTAAAGTGCCATAATTCCCGACCTATAACCTTGAAATAAATGCGAATTCCCAGCTTAAGTGAGCGAAAATCTTTTCATTGCACTTCATCGGCGCAGTAGTCCAAATTCTGGCTGTTATTTATGTACATATGTATTCGCGTGTGTCCGCCAGCCCGTCACAGACAACGTCAACCAGTACAGTAATGCTCAATTATATCACGCTCTCTCACCTGATCTTCTTCTTCACTTGCATATATATATATGTGTGTATGCATGTGATTGCCTGCTTAGCAGGGATGGAAAATGAGTGTGCATTGTGCCATTTTTGTGATAATTCATTAAATCAGTGAAATACTTTTAAATATTGTTTCATTTATTAAAATAAAGATATAAATATGGGGTACTAGTCTGTAATTAAATACATTTTATTTAAATGTAGAGTAGGTATACATATATTGAAGAATATATAAAAAAGGATCTTTATATTCAGCGTAATCTTCATAAAAGAAAGAATGCATATAATAAAGGTTTTCCGTGAGATTTATTTTTTTCTGATATATAAAGGAAACGGCACCTATCAACCAATTTTTAATTTATTGGCACATTGCATTTAGGCACATTTTTTCGGGAAAATTCGACACAAATTTAAATTTTGATTTTCCATCACTGCTGCTTAGTAGGGCACCTACCTTAAAATGCACTTAACTAGGAGTGTTACTCTTACATTTAGTCAGCTGTTTTCTCTTTAAAACGTTAATTATTGCAATCATTATGCTGTTTCCATTTTCAATGCCCTTCGTTGTACAACAATTGATGGACACACAAATATCCATATATTCCCGTTCTAAAAAGAATTCGTTAAATTTCGAACTCTTTGAGGGTTATCACGTGAAATGTTATCGTTTTCACGTGAACAAATTCGACGAAATGCAGGCATGCCTGCATATCTCAATATGTATGTTTTATCGTACGTAGATATGGATGTATTTATGTAAGTATGCACGTATGTACGTGTGTGTTTTATTGAAAGCGAAAAAATTACTTTGTATTTGTTAATTAGTTAGAGCTCAGAGACATATTTTGCTTTGATTCAAGTGGTTAACTATCAACCGTCACTCTCGCTCTCCGCTCTCTCTGTATTGATTCTGCGCTATTCATTTGGTAGCAGCTCATTGCCTGACATTTGGCAATGGTGCTTATCTAACGGCAAAAAGGGCAAACTGAATTAAATATTAAATGTAAAAATTAGTTCTTATCTACTTATTGGAAGTATAGTAAAATTGCCGTTTATAAAAATATTTAATATAAAAAAAATAAACAAAACTTTTAAAGATTCATCTAAAATTAACTATTTCAAAAAAAAAAGACGAAAATAAAAGAAAAGAAAATAAATTAAAAGACAAGAAGTAAAGAGATGAAATAAAGAGCAAAGCGAAATGGTAAAGTAAAAAAGAAGAGAAATAATGGATAAAAGAAAATCAAATAAATAAAAACAAGTAAAATAAGAAAGGAATAATAACAAAGAAAAAAAACAGAAAAGAAAAGGAATGTGGGTAATAGAAGGAGGGGAAAAAATAAAGAAAAAATAATAAAAATTAAGGGAAAAAGGAAGTGAATTAAAAAGAGGAAAAGAGAAAAAAAGGTAAAAATAAAAAATAAAATAAAATAATATGAAACAAATAAAAGAAAGGACGGAAAAGAAAAAATATATAAAAAAGGAGTCGGATAATTCGCAAACTCATTAAAATTAAGTTCAGTAGCGGCTAGTATTGGCACCATTTATGGCGGAGTCTTGTATTTTTACGGAAATATTTAATACAAGTTCCATTTTGCTTAGGGTACGTGTGGATTTCCGCATACGAAATTTCAAGGTTGTCAGCCTATGCAATGA